ATTCTGGGAGTTGAAGTCCGCTCATCTTAAAGTGGCCAAGTTTGGACAACACTGTCCTATGCTATTTCACTCAGTAACCAGGGAACTAATAGCAGTGGTATTCAGCAGAAGCTTCAGCCATTTTAAAGATGCATGCGATGTGTTGTTGTTTTATCATTATCTGCATAAGTCAATTTGCATTCATAATAATGACTTTGTGTTTTAAAGATCATTGGCAGCATTTCTGAGTGATTTTGTACTTCCCTTGGGTTTCCAACTTTATTTGAATACATTAGTACTTTCAAGTCTATCACATTGAATAGCTGTCAAAGGCTGATCAGGAGTTAGCAAAAACAGAACTGTGCCTTATTTCCCTTTCTTCTTCCTTTTAAGGATATTCCCCACTTTTTTGGTTCTTCTGTCTTAAATTAATGTAGAACTTAAATTTATGTACCTTTCCAATGAGAGGGATGATACTTCTAAAAAGACTGAACTTGAACCCCTGTTTCTGGATGACTTTGTTCTTTATGACTTCCTTGTGATCCTTCAGACTCAAAGTATATTATCCACTTATTACATTGTAATAGTAATTCTATATGTGTTTATACATGTCACTGTTGCCAATTTTTCCAGTGGAATAGGAATTCACCCAATTCTGATCATTTTATAAATGCCTTAAAAATAGTTGATTTCACATCAGAACTGAAAAGTTCTAAAAACGCGTGTCCTTGACTTTCCCTTTCAACTTTCTTTTTTATCGATTACCTTATTCTTTTAAGATTTTTCTCAAGTCAAGTGTGTTGGATTTGTCAATTCTCTGGTAAATGTCTAATTTGAAAAAAGAAATTCTGGAAAAACAGTTTGGTAGCACTGTAGATTCCAACTGACTCCATAAATTTGATTCTCCAACATATTCTGGGTACTTGCTAAATTTATCCCAGAATTGTTTCCCTTTCGTTTGCTTCTGTGGTCAACTATGCTGAAACATTTTTATCACTAGGGTGAAAGGATGTCCCCAATATTTATTTCTGAGTCTGAATATCATCACTCACAGGAGTTTTGTGGAGATACCTTTTTTTTTTTTTAATTAGCTAGTTTGATTCTGTACTCTTGATTGAAAGTTGTACCTCTCAGCATTCCTGTTTTTGTTCTCTCTATTGTTAGTATGTAGAAAATTATATTCCATTGGTTATGTCCTCTATATTTATTGTATGTCCTCTAAAATCAAGCACCTCATTTTCTCCATTGGCTTCCAACATCAGCCTATAAACAGATGTCCATGATGGTCTTTTCAAAATACCATTTGCATATGCTTTTTCATCTATTGTATTTTGCTCGGCGGTTGTTATTGCCCAGATACAGTCAATCTTCAATTAGAAACATTTTTATTCTTATCCCCTCAAGATGATTTATTCCTAAAACAAATTGTCTATTATCATGTTTTTTCCAAGAATAGTTGGATATTTTTTTTTTATTGTAGTCAAGAGTCTAAGGCTCAAAGGTCAGGTCAAAACTCTGTTGCTAGTTTTGATATTAAATGCTAGAATTACGTCCTCATTTTAGTTTAGTTACAGACTGTATCTTTTTACACATCAGGATTGTCTTAAAAAGCTCCTTATTAATTAAAGGATCCAGATCCCTCCTCCTTTCATCACAGTTTATCCATATACTGAGATTCCTTGGCTCCGCCTTTGCCATTTTGAACTTCCTGTCTGGAATCTCATTTCTCCCAATCACTGGTGTTCACTTGCCCCACAAATATCAATTCCTATCCAAATATTATCATCCCATTTGGATTAAATATAACTCCCACTATTTGCACCCAGAAAGAGATAGGTTCTATCCATCTGTTGGGTCTTACACATGCATCACAAATGTAACTTCTGTTTTTATAATGATCAAATTGTCTGCTACATAAGCCTGCAACTGGTGATCTAGTTTTGTCACAAAAAGAATATAAGCTTATCATGCAAAAGAAAAGGTCCTCTGGCAACGTTTTATTTTCAATATGTCTTCAATTAATGTTACTCTGTGTTAGAATTCTTATGTTCAGTAATCCAAAATGTAATGTTATACTTAATTTCATTGGGAAAGACTGTGTAATTTTCTGCTTATATTGTTGTGCTTTAATTTTGAACTGTCCATTGGCAATATAGATAGGTATAAATATTTGATTTCAATGATTTGGATCAAATCATCAAATCAGATGCATTTGAATATAATTTTCTGAAGCTGCTGCTTCTAATCGGTTTGAAAATTAAATTGACATGACTTGGCACATTAAATTGAAGAATTAATTTGACTCAGTTATCCAAATTATTAGACTGATTTACATCTGATTTGCATGCCCTAATAGAGTTACACATTTGTTGTTATGGATATGTAAGATCAAGTAGTGATGGTAATAAAAATTACAGTGGGACAACAAAAAATTATTATGTGCCGTGACTATGGCTTTGTAGTTTATAGACAAGTTGTATCAATTTATTAACATTAGTCCTTGCAGTACAGGTTCTCCAGATTCATAGAAAAAGGAGTGCAATTTATTTCATCTTTGTTGAGAATGAAAATAAATCAAAGGAGAGAGGCTAAAAGAGTTATTTGTTGTGAGCACTGCCATTTTATGTTTCCTTTTCTTGTTGAAAAACTTGTATTATTTTTACAGTGGATGAACTTTAACATACTACATAAGAAGGATTTTATGACACATATATTTTTCTGTGGAAAAAAGTGGTGTCAATAAAATCAAAGGTGGGATTCAAATGTGGTTTTAGTAATCCAAGGAAGAAGAGAAGGAACACATTTTTGTATTCCTGTTGTGTTCATTTGACATAGCTGAATTCAAGAAATAGCTAGATAGATTCTACATTTCCCTAAAATATATTTTTTTCTCTTCCCATTGTACAATGCACAGTGTACGGTGTTCAAAACACACCTAATTTTTTTTCTAACCAAGAATATGTTACACCACCCAGAGTCATGCTCTGTGAGATAGGCAGCTATATAAATATGATAAATAAATAAATATTATATCACAACTCTGGAAAATGGAGGTAAAAGAATCCAGCATATCCGGGAACTGAATTCATCATTCTTGAAGGGGGGAAGCATTGACCTCTGTGCGGGAACCATGTGATGAAATTTGCGTGGCAAGGCCAACTCCACTCCTTCTGTGCTTGCATGCAACATGGTGACACATATGACCTCCTGATGCATGTATTGTCATTTGGCATCATAGAGGTTAGGAATAGATGCCAACAGTAGAATGCCCATAGTGCTGACAGTTGTTAAATACATGTTCAATCAGTGATACATCTTCTCTAAAACTTGCTCTGTTACTTTTGGAGATTCACTGATGATCAAGAAAATATTAACCAAAATAATGATTAACCTACACTTTGGTGTATAAACTGGGTTTGCTTATCAATTCTGCCAAGTTATCTTAAGATTATAGTCACAACTTTTGTTCATGTACTTAAACGTTTAGAATGAACTATTCAAATTATACATGCAGGTATTGTTGTATTAAGCTGTACGATGCTGTTTTTGCAGCAAACCTCCGTGCTGCATTTTGTTAAACAATCAGTGACCTTTACTCAGTGATTACCCTTGGACATTGTTCATCGATTGGCAACACACAGCTTCCATGCTTTATCTTTCCTTCCATTCAGTACTTGCTTCATTATGGAATCCCTTGCTTGAATTAAGCCCAAATTGTGCATTACATACGAACTGAGGAATTTTGATGTAATTCAAACCAGGATTTCTGTTATTGCCTTTGAAAGAAGTTCTTCACAATACACAGGAGCATGGACAAAGCACCTTTCTTGGAATAATTAAAGCAGCTGCATCTTTTTCCAGACTCATTCAACTGCTTCGTAAATGCAGAAACTCAGCTACTTATAAATGCTTCATAAACAATTGGAAGCCGCTTACAAAGCAGCTGTGCAAGCTTCTGAAAAGGCATAGAAATTTGGCTATAGGTAATAAACCTGAGCCAAGCATTTGGAATAGGCCCTTTGCAGAGTTTATATACGTGGATGAAGCATCTCTCCAGAGTGTTGAAACAGCCATGTCCTTTGAAAGCCGACCTTGTGCTTGGCACCAGCAAAGCATATGCATGTAGAGAGAGCTGGGAATAGTGGTGTGAACCTGGCAACTACAGTACTGTTTTAACACTTCGGAAAGAGGTGTTTTCTCTGATGCTTTGTAAATCACCTCTTTAGAATAGTTTGCACAGTCCTGGTAAATATCAAGATTGAGGTCATTCATTTCTCTGAAGTATTTTCTTATGGCTATTTTAGATAATCAGAAGAACTTTCCTTCCTGTTTTTATTTCAGAGCACATGCAGAAGCATCATCATCTGTAAATCATGACATGCACACAACGGCTGAGAAGATGAGAAGCAGAGAAGTAGTGAATGAAGGGAGTGATGATAGGAAAGTCATAGAGTCAGACAATGTTCCTCAGGCAGAAGGAAAGAAGAAGAAGCAGCGTTCTGGATTTCGGGACCGTAAGGTATGTCTTTATGAAACTTTGTTGTTGTTTAGTCGTTAAGTCGTGTCTGACTCTTCGTGACCCCATGAACCATATTGCGCCAGGCCTTCCTGTCCTTCACTGCCTCCCTGAGTTTGCTCAGTTTCATGCTCATTGCTTCAGTGATGCTATCTA